TGGGCTGGGGAGGTGGTGGTGCACAGCAGGAAAGTGTGCCCCGCACCTCCGTGCACTAACCAGGATCAGACAGGAAAGGCCGTTACATTATTAGTAGGACAACTGCTTTATGCCAAAGTTAATGAGGAGGGACAAAGAAGGACATTTCATATCGCTTAATGGAATTATACCATCAAGATATAACAATCAGAAATATTTATGCCCCAAACAATGGAGGATCTACATACATCAACGAACCTTTCTCAATTCCAAGAATCCAATAGATCACAATACAATAATATTGGGTGACTTTAACTCTCATTACTGGACAGATCCTTCAAACAAAAACTAAATAAAGAAACTACAGAACTAAAAAATATAATTACTGATTTAAACTTAACAGACATATATAGATTATTTCATCCATCAATGAGTAAATATGCTTTCTTCTTCAGCACACAGATCCTTCTCTAAAACAGACTATATCTTAGGTCACAAAGCAATTCTTAGAAAATACAAAAAAATAGAGATAATACCTTGTATTCATCAGATCATAATGGTATGAAAATAAAAATCAACAATAAAATACATCATAGAAGCTACTCTAACACCTTCAGAATAAATAATATGCTATTGAATAACCAATGGATAGCAGAAGAAATCAAGGATGAAATAAAAAAATACTTAGAGATAAACGAGAACACTAATACAACATATCAAAATCTCTGGGACACTATGAAGGCAGTACTAAGAGAAAAGTACATTGCATTGAGTTCATTCATTAAAAGAAATAGAAAGTCACAAAATACATGACCTAATACTACATCTCAAAACTCTAGGAAAAAAACAAATCAATACCAAAAGCAGAAAACAGGAAATGATTAAAATCAGAGCTGAAATCAATGAAACTGAAATAAACAAAAAACAAACAAACAAAAACTGATGAAACAAGAAGTTGGTTCTTTGAAAAAATGAAATTAATAAACCCTTAGCCATGCTAACAAAGAGAGACAGAAAACTCAAATTACTAAAATTTGTGATGAAAAAGGAAATATTACAACAGACACTGCTGAAATACAAATTATAATCATAAACTATTTTGAAAATTTATACTTTAACAAAATAGAAAACATTGAAGACATTGACAGATTTCTAGACATAACAAAGGAAAGCCCAGGACCAGATGGATTCTCAGCCGAGTTCTACAAGACCTTCAAAGAAGAATTAACACCAATACTCCTCAAAGCATTCCATGAAACAGAAAAAGAGGGAACACTTCCGAACTCATTCTAGGAGGTAGTATCACCCAAAGACACATCAAGGAAAGAAAACTTAAGACCAATCAATATCCCTGATGAACACAGATGCAAAAATTCTTAATAAAAAGATAGTGCACCATGATCAAGTGGTTTATCCCAGGGATGCAAGGTTGGCTCAACATAAGAAATCAATAAACATAATTCACCACATCAATATATTTAAAGATTTTATATATATATATATATATATATGTGTGTGTGTGTGTGTGTGTGTGTATATATATATATATATATTCTCAATAGATGCATAAAAAGCATTTGAGAAAATACAGCATCCATTCATGTTCAAAACACTAGAAAAACTAGGGATAATAGGAACACACCTCAACATTGTAAAAGCTGTATACGCTAAACCCAAGCCCAGCATCATTCTAAATGGGGAAAATTTGAAAGAATTCCCTCTAAAAACTGGAACAAGACAGGGATTTTTTTTTTTTTTTTTCACCACTTCTACTCAACATAGTCCTGGAAACTCTAGCCAGAGTAATTAGATAGAAGAAAGAAATTAAAGGAATACAATTAGGAAAAGAATTCAAACTATCCCTATTTGCTGATGACATGATTCTATATTTAGAAAACTCAAAAAAACTCCACCAGAAAACTTCTACAACTCATAAACGAATCCATCAAAGTAGCAGGATATAAAATTGACACCCATGAATCAATTGTGTCCCTATACATCAGTGACAAATCAACTGAAAGAGAAATTTAGGAAAACTGTCCCATTCACAATAGCCTCAAAGAAAATAAAATATCTGGGAATCAATCTAACAAGAGGCGAAAGACCTCTACACTGAAGACTACAGAACACTAAAAAAAGACATTGAAGAAGATCTTAGAAGGTGAAAAGATCTCCCATGTTCTTGGATAGGCAGAATTAACATTGTCAAATGGTCATGAAACCAAAAGCACTATACAGATGAATGCAATGCTTATTAAGGTCCTGATGATGTTCTTCATAGAAATAGAAAAAGCAGTCACAAAATTCATTTCGAAAAATAAGAGGTCTAAAATAGCCAAGGCAATCCTTAGCAAGAAGAGTTAAGTAGGGGCATCTCAATACCAGAACTTAAACCATACTACAGAGCAATAGTAAGAAAAACAGCACGGTACTGGCACCAAAACAGACATAAAGACCAATGATGAGAAGAGAAGACAGACACACCCACATAGATACGGTCACCACCTCCTAGACAAAGGTGCCATGAACATATGTTGGGGGCTGTGGTTGTGGTTCAGAGGAAGAGCGCTTGCCTAACACGCGTGAGGCACTGGGTTCAATCCTCAGCACCACATAAAATAAATAAATGTATAAAAAGCACAATAACATTGTTTAAAAAAAAAATATATATATATATACATATATATATATATATATGTTGGAGAAAAGATAAGCCTCTTCAACACATGGTGCTGGGAGAACTGGAAATCCATATGTAGCAAAATGAAATTAGACTCCTCTATCTCACCCTGCACAAAACTCAACTCAAAGTGGATCAAGGACCTAGGCATCACATGCGACATTCTGCGCCTACCAGAAAGAAAAGTAGGCCCAAATCTCCATCATGTCAGCTTAGGAACCAAATTCCTCAGTGAGACTCCTAAAGGGCAAGAAGTAAAATCAAGACTCAATAAATGAGGCTGGAGTTATAGCTCAGTTGGCAGAGCGCTTGCCTAGCACGTGAGAGGCATTGAGTTCGATCCACAACACCACATAAAAATTAAATAAAGGTATTGTGTCCATCTACTATAAAATATTTCTTTAAAAAAAGAATAAATGGGATGGCATAAAACTAAAAAGCTTTATATTGTGGGATAAAACAAATGAATCATCAAGTGATATTCCAATTCTATAATTGCTCAGATTTACAACATGGGATAAAATTATCGAGAGAAGTAAGGTTGAAGGAAAAAAAAAAACTAAAAAGCTTCCTCACAGCAAAGAAAACCATCAAGAACAGGAAGAGACAGTCTACAGAATGGGAGACAATCTTTGCCACCTGGATCTCAGATAGAACATTCATCTCTAGGATACATAAAGAACTCAAAAAACTTAACACTAGAAAAAAAAAATACCCCAACTGATAAATGGGCAAAGGAAAAACAGGCACTTCACAGAAGAAATACGATGGGCCAACAAATATATGAAAAAATGTTCAACATGTCTAGGAATTAGAGAAATGCCAATTAAAACTACAGAGATTCCATCTCATCTCAGTCAGAACAGCGATTATCAAGAACACAAGTAACAGTAAATGTTGGCAGGTGTGGGGGAAAGGCACCTGATTCATTGCTGGTGGGATGGCAAACTGGAAAGCTGTATGGAGATTCCTCAGAAAACTTGGAATGGATCACCTTTTGACTCAGCTACCCCTCTCCTTGGCTTATACCCAAAGGATTTAAATCAGCATATTATAGTCATGCAGCCAAATGAATGCCTATAGCAGCTCAATTCACAATAGCTAAGCTATGGAACCAACCTAGGTGCCCTTCAACAGATGAATGGGTAAAAAAACCCCACATAATGGAATACTACTCAGCTTTAAGGAAGAATGAACTGATGGCATTTGCCAGTAAACGGGTGGAAGTGGAGACATCATGCTAAGTGAAATAAGCCAATCCCCCAAAACCCCAAAGGCCTAATGTCCTCTCTGATATGCGGATGCTAACTCACAGTAAGTGGTGGGGGGGGGATAGAAGTTCACTGAACCGGACAAAGGGGAATGAAGGGCAAGGGCTGGGACCAGGAAAGGCAGCAGAATGAACCCAACATCACTTTTCTATGTTCTTGCATGAACTCACGACCCGTGAAACTCCACATCACACACCACACACGAATGGGAAGTCTCACTCCACGTATATATCTATGTCAAAACATACCCTACTKTCATGCATAACTGGAAAGAAGTAAAAAAAAAAGGCTCTGTGGTAGCATTGTTGGTAACAAGGAAACCTGAACACAGGYCTCAGAGCCTGGGCCAGCAGCTCAGCCCAGCAGCACTGGAGGCRTGAAAGTGACCATGTGGGTCCACCTCAGAGAAAACTGGGGGAGAATGGCCGACTCGGACTTCAGGCCACAGGTCTCTGAGGCAGGGGCACAGGAGACGGTATTGAGGGTCGGCAAGGCTGTGGTCTGGAGCCAGGATGGGCTCTTGCCAGAGCCTCTCTGGTACTGCTGCCCGCCCTGGCCAGGCCCAGCTTGTTTCTCATTCCCAGAGCTATGGGTGGCCAGCAGAGGGCGCTAGCAGTGAGAAGGGAGGGACAGGAGCAAAGTGGGCACCCTGTGTGTCCACTGCCCTCACTCCTGTCTGAAGGGGGTCTTCCCAGCAGCAGCAGACCTGCCCAGTGCCAAGGCCTGGTCCCAAAGGTTCTCACCCACAGGACCCTGGCCCTGGGAAGGACACTGGACACCATGGGATGATCCTCAAAGAAGGCCACTCCTCTGTGTTCCTAGTGGGCATGGTGGGAGCAAGTGTCCGAGGAGAAGCAGGGTGGGACTCACATGGATCCCGGGCTTGCTCCAGTGGCTCTCTGCTCAGCACCTAGGAGATGGGGCTGGAGGGCATGGGATGGGGAGCACCAACTCAGCCACCCAAGAGCAAAGCCACCAGTCATGGGCCCAGGCATCTGACTCTAAACGCAGACTGGTCCCCTGCAGAGCATCTCACGCACAGAGTCGGCAGGGACCCCGGAAGTGCTCACCTCCGCACGGCTGTTGATCTCCTCTTCAGAGAGGCCGGCGAGCACGGCCTGGTCAAGTGGCCCTGCGGCCACCTCCACTGTGTGTTGGATTCGCTCAAGCATCTGCTTCTTGCCGGGATCTGTGGTCTCACTTAACTTTACTGAAAATGGCTACAGAAAAAGGGGCATATCAACCTTGATGGATACCACACTGAAACCTGTGCTCACAGAGCTGACTCAAGGCAGAGCAGACCAGTGTTTCTCACTGGCCCAAGGTGATGGAGAAGTCTGCACCCCAGCTCTTCCCCAAGCAGTGGGCCAAGAGGCCTGTGTCCTCAGCTGAGGCAGTCCTGCGCCGGCCCTCCTCACACATGACTGGGTGGGACCCTTCACTGCTCTGCGTCTCAGTGGCCCACCTATAAAATGGGGCTGAGAGCAGTACTTCTAGGCTGCTGGGGGGCTAACCGAGAGTACATGCAGAGCCCTGAGAAGCAGCAGCCATTTCCATCTCAAAGGCCACTGCGGCCCAGCAGGCCCCAGTCCTGTTAGCCTGACAGCGAGACCCCAATTCATGCCTTCTTTTCCTTTCAGAGATAAAATGCCACAGACATGCCAGTAACATTACTCTAATTACCAGGGATTCCTGGGAGTTATTAAAGCAAATAAAATGACTCTCTCTTCATATCTTGTCATATTACGTAATACAATACAGAACTGTGTTTACAATATGCTATTCAGAATTAGATGATCAAGTTGGAGAAAACACATTTCAATAGTTCTGAAGATCTGCAGTATCGTGGGTACAACAGATCTCACGCCAGCACAACTTCTGCACTTGGGCAGAGGCAGCAGACTGGTCACGACCTCAGCTTTCTAACTGGACAGTAAAGCTGTTCGGTCTTCTCAGGAGCCAGTGTGGTCAGTGGCACTGTGATGCCTCAGGTTCTCCTGGAAGCAGAAGGAAGGCCACCTACCCTGCACTCCATCCCCATGCACCTGTCCTGCTCACTTTCCTGCAGGCCAGAAGCCACACGAGCCGAGACTCCAGTACCCCTGACAAAATGGCTTATGCACTGCTCTGTGGAAACAGACTGCACTTTGGGGACAATGACCTACAGAGGGCCCTAGTGCCATAAGCAGGAGGCAGGGCAACATCTAGAGAAGAGGGCTCACCTTCAGAGCAGCACGAACATCCTCCAGGAGCTGGGTGGCTGGTGGTTTCCGCTCCCGATACTGTGCAAACAAGTAGTTCTGCCGGGCCCTTCTGATGATCTGCAGGGGGAGACAGGGTGTGCTCAGAGCCCACTCCCATCCGTGCAGGTGTAAGTGGTGGGTAAGCACCCTGGGACCCCAACACCACCCTCAATCTGCTACTTGCTGAGAGGAAGAGGTGAACTTCCTGATGCCTGAGAAATAGGTGCTGGGGTCCCACTTCCTCCAGAGTCAGATACAGAGTAGGCTCCCTTCTGCAGAGCACCAGGGACACAAACTCATTCAACCTGGCCCCTGAACGTGCTGGGTTCTAGTGGCATTTATACCTATGTAAATGTCCACACATCTGCATAAGCTAGTATCAAATCACTGAGGGGACTCAAGTAAGGTTCACTAAGTCAAGCCTAAGCTAGCTCAAACCTACACCATGCTACTTACGGATCAAAGTCCTGTGAGTATGATTAATCTGGAACACGGCCCTACCTTGTCATCAATGTCTGTGATGTTCATGCAGTAGAAGACGTCGTACTGAAAGTAATCCTTTAACACTCTCCTCAGGATGTCAAAAGAGATGTAGGACCTGAACAGTGAACACACAAGCTTCCCATCAGCACATGCTGCATGTTAGCCGGGCACTACAGGAACATGCACAGGCTAAGTGGCCCTGAACTGATAATCCAAAATGCCCCCAAACCCAAAGTCCTCGTGATGTGCAGCCTAATGATATCATGAAGGAAAAGCCCACACCATTAAACTTTGTTTCACGCACAAAACTGTAAAAAGTATTACCTTCAAGTTATACGTACAAGGTGTGCATGAAACAAACAAATGTCTTGCTTCGACTTGGGTCTTATCCCCAAGATAGCTCACGACATACATGCAAATACTCCAAAATCCGAAATAAAACATGCTTCTGGCTCCAAGCACCAGAAAGGGAAATTTGACCTGTGTAAGTAAAAGGGTTCTGTGGCCTCTACCCTAACAGCCAGGAACTCTCCTCAAGCCACACCTGTGGACAGACAGGTCAGGGTCACAGGCAACTTGCCCTCAGGTCCGAGAGCCATGGAAACTCTGAACAGGGGACCTGCAGAGCTGGAGGGATAAGGAAAGCACAATGGGGTGTTGGAGTGGAGTCCAGGACAGCAACCAGGCTGGGGACACTGGCCTCTGGGTCAGCCCTAACCTTCCTGCAGTGAGGTGGATMACCAGCGGCACTGGACCTTACCTGGCATGCCCCATGTGCGATGCGTCATAGACAGTGGGCCCACAGCAGTACCAGGTCACTTTTTTCCCATCTTGAGGTATGAACACGTCCTTGTTAGAAGTGAAGGAGAGCCGTCACAAGAGATCCCAGAAGCTGCGCAGGAGCACCCAAAGTTCAACACGCATCCCCCTGCTCTCAGGCCCAGACTGCTCGCTGCCTTTGTTCTGCACAAGTGTATTTCACGTGCACTATTTTATTGGATTAAAAAGGCTACAGTAGTCTGGTGGGAGCCGTAGTATCCACGGCAGCCCCGCTCACTGTCCACTGATGGAGATGGCTAGAGCCCCTTTCCCCTGGGGTCCTGTCCCCCTCTGGAGTGTACATCCTTTGTGGGAATGCTACTTGTGCAACAAAGGCAGCGAGCAGTCTGGGCCTGAGCAGGTGCTCGCAGCCCCCCACCTGCTCCAGGCACAGCCTCAGGGGTCTGGCTTCTGCTTTCTTCTTCAAAAAAGTCACTGAGGCCGAGAGCAGCAGCCTGGGCCCTAGAGCAAGCCTAGGGTCTTGTCTGGCCAGGGTCTGTCCCTCCCTGAGCGCCTGGCTTGCAGGCCAGACCACCCCAACACCCCAAAARCTTTTGGGGGACATCAGGCAATGAGTTCCATAACAAGACTGTGGGCTGCGCTGCCCCTGCCCCTGCCCCTGCCTGCTAAGCATGCTTGCTGATCAAAATCCCAACCTTTTCTGAACACCCCAGCCACAGCCTGGGCAGCACTGCTGGGTCAGCGGCAGCCCTACCTTCTCTGCCAAGCCTCAGGCTCCTAGCACCTGGCAGTCAGTTCGCCCCCTTCCTGCTCTGCTCGAGCAACACCCGCTGCAACCCTGGGCTCTGAAGGCATACCAGCTCTGGCCTGGCTGTGAATGACCTCGAGCACTTGGGCCTACTCAGGGTAGCCCACGCCCAGAAGCCAGTGGGCAGGCTTCCACAGTCACAGCTCTGCCCCCAGGTTACACGGGCCACAGCATAGGAAGTAACTAAAGAGGCTGAACTCTGGAGCCCAGCGTGGTGAACAGGAAAGTTTCCCTTTACTGCGACACAGGGATCCCAGCCGCGCGCATGCGCGCGCACACACACACACACACACACACACACACACACACACACACACACCACCTGACCCCTCTTTACCTTGTTCCGGGTGAGGCTGTTGTACAGACGGAGCTTACAGGGCTCAGTCCCAGCTGGAGGAGACCACTTAGGCTGCACTCGCCGGCCTTTACCTGGGTGGCAGAAGAGCAGACAGATCATACAGCAGCACCCAAAAACACAGGTCGCCCTACACCTGGAGATCTAATTTGGACCACAAAACTGATTTTCAATGAAACAGCACTAAGCAATACAAACCTTCTTGGCTTTGTTCCCATCCTGCGTGAGTCTCAATGACAACCAAGCCCCAGTGTGAGCCTAGAATGCCGCATGTCCTGCTGTTCACCCCATAAGCTGCTGTCCACGGCCCGTGGGTCAGCTGCCGGATTGTCCTTGGGCTACACTGTTGCCACCTAGACTGTCCCCATCTCCCAGGATCCCTCATCTGGGCAAAAGGAAAGTTGATGGATGCTACCTTTCCTCAAGCCTCTCCTGAGGCCATGACAGGTCAGGGGAGAAGGGCCTCCAGCTCCTCTGCAGCTCTGTGCTTGAGCAGTGAGTGGTTAGCTGCCAGCATGCTCCAACCTCGGACACAGCCTGTGCCCCACCCCACCCCCAGGCTGGCCCTCGATGCCCCCCCCCCCCCCCCCCCCCCCCCCCCCCCCCCCACAGCCCCGTTCTGCCAGGCAGTCAGTGTTCTCCTGCCTGCTCCTGCCACCATGTGGCACAGCCTACCCTGGTGTGTGCCTTGGGTCTGGGGCCCTTCCCCCTGAGGCAGATGCTTCCTCGCTGTGTGGGCATGAGGACCTGAGGAGGTGTCCTGGGTAGCTGACCACTTTCTAACCACCAGGGCTGGCTTGGCGCCTGCTCTGCAGTGCCCGCCCCTCCTCGGGGAGTCCCAGCTTCCTCCTCAGCCCTCCCAGAGCCCGGCTCTGAGGAGCTCTCCTGTGCACACCTGCGCCCAGGCAGGACCTTGCTCCCGCTGGCCTGTGCTGAGCTGCAGAGAAGACCCTCAGGATGGAGGTCAGTCTTCCCTTCTAGGCTGCACTGGGTGACTCATTCCCTGCCCCTCGGCCTCCTAGGTAAGTTTGTCATGGGAAGGGGGTGCCTCTGCTCACAGGCAAGAGCCTGCACAGGCCCTGCGCAAGTGTCAAATGTTGGCATTTCCAGGTCCCCGCCCTTGCCAGGGCCACTCAGCTGAGACGGAGGACTGGTAACCAGCAGGCTGAGGGTGGGGAGGCCACAGAGGACGGCGCTAAGCAGGAGGTCCTTGCCAGCTGACTCACGACCCTGTCACAGGTGGCCACAGATTCCTATCATGGGACGTCCCCGACCCTTAATCAAGCATCGAGGCTCACTGAGGTCAACGCATCAAATGCCCTGGAAGGAAAATCTCACTGCCTGCAGCTGGCAAGAGGTTTCAAGGACGTTTGGCAGAAACAAATTCAGATTGCAGAAGGGAAAGACTGGGAGGCGTGACACTACAGCCTGTTTTTCACAACTCTCCCTTGGCCCAGGCTCCCATTTAGCGAGAGTCTTGGACTTCTGACCACTGCCCCACACCGGGTGGTCCTCATCGGCGTCCTCACCACCTCCCGAGGAAGCTGTCAGCCTCTGCCTGGGTTCTCTCTGTGACAGTGAACATGCTCCACTCATCCCGGGCAGCACCAGTCCCACCTGGCCAGGCACTGTCTGGGGAACACTGCCCCAACCTGGCAGAAACCACCTTGGAAATGGGACCCGGGGAGACTGAAGGGCAGGAAGCCTCCAGGAAGCACTATGCCCCGGGCAGAAGCTGGCACTGGYAGAAGGCCCGGCCAGGAGCCACCGGCCAGGAGCCACCGAGAGAAACCTTCCTGAGGCAGAGGGTTAGTCACCTCCTGGGGGAGATCCCAAAGCTGAACTTGCATCTTCCTAAGGAGGCCTCGCTGCCACTAGACCTGTGCCTTTCTTCAGGGTGACCCGCCCGAGTTCTGTGGAGAGGGAACCTGATGCACCATGCTGGGCACCGGCTGTAGCGACCCACACAGTAATTCCTCCCTTCCTGTGACGGGGGGATGTTAGCAGCAGGATTATGCAGAAAACCAAAGCAAACCTCTGCCCTTAGTGACTTGGCACTCCTCGGCCCCATGTGAAACTGGGAGAGGCCCAGAGGCATGTTCCCAATCCCCCATCCCAAGTCTGGAAACCCCCCCGAGGTGCCAGTGGGGCCACCGAAGGTAGCGCTCCGCCTGCCCTACAGGAAGGAGGGTGCACGCAGAGCCCCGGGCAGCCAGGCCCTCAGGGCCTCAAGGCAGCTATGGAAGGGGGCACCTCGGCTTCCCAGAGAGCCCCAAGCTACCCAGGAACCGGAGCCCCGAGACTCTCAGCAGCGTTTCTCCCAAGATAACTGCAGTGGCACCCGGGGGTGCAAGCGGCTCAAGCCACGCAGCTGAGTTCCTCTCAAAATGCTCCCCGAGGCCTGAACACTTCAGTGCCCCTTCATCTAGCTTTAGTGTTTGATGGCACCACACCCGGGGAGGAACGCACTGCGATCTTAGGGAAATAAAGAAAAACATGTGAAGCCAGAGGCCGACACAGCTCCCCAGGACTGGGGCCCACAGCCCAGCATGCTGGACACCCCCAGGGGGCCGCTGGTCACTGCAGCCCTGCTGTGCCAGCAACAGGAATGTCCTGATCTGAGGAACCACCTCCACAGGGTGGCTTCTATGCTACCCACTGAGCACGGCACCTGCCCTGCCAGACCTCCAGCTCAGGACCCTAGGGCGAGGGTCCCACAGTCCACTGTCCCATGGCACCACATGCCACCACATGCCACCACACGCCATGGGGGGTGGAGAACACCTGACCTCGGAGCACAGACCCCAGTGGCAGGGGCAGCAGCTGGTACTCACTTGCTTGGGGCCCGCAGGCCTCACCCTTGTCACAAGGGCGACCCAGGAGCGCTTCTATGTGCCTGAACCACCGAGCCACGTGGAGGAGCCTCGAGTCGGCGGGCAGGGCCGAGAGCTGCCTGAACACGTCCACATCTGCCTGAGAGAGTGTGTACCCCTGGACATAGCTACGCGTGCTGAGGTGCTCGTCCAGGGCCCGCACCCTGGCTGCCTCGTCACTAATGCTCAGAATGGACCTGTAGTCGGCAGCTGCAAAGACAGAGGGCAAAGGACATCAGGCAGAGGGCATCTGACGCAGGCAGGCAGGTAGAGGGCATGCACTATGAGGTAGTGGACACAGGACATCTAGCAGGCTGGCAGAAGGCACATGGCATGAAGCAGAGAGAACATGTGACGTCAGACAGGTGGGCAGTGGGTACACAACATGAGGCAGAGGACACAGGGCATCAAGCAGGAGAAGACTGCTCTGAGCTGCTGGGCAGGAGTCAAAAGAGACCCACGTGTCCAAACCCTTTCCTGGATGTCAACCATCCACAAGCGGCAGAGGTGCAGGGGCAGCATGCAGGGCAAGGCTGTGGGGAAGGGAGCTGCTTCCCTGCTGAGGGGACAGCAGCGTGGTGCGCTGACCGCCCTGGGCTGTGCACTTCAAGACGGTTCACTGCTACAAGCTTTCGCCTCTATTTATTTATTTTTAAGTTTATTTTATTTTTGGTGCTGGGATTGAACCCAGGGGTGCTCCACCACCAGGCTATATCCCCAGCCCTTTCTAATGTTTTATATTTCAGACGGGGTTTCACTAAATTGCTGCGATTAGACTCAAACTTGCAATCCTCCTGCCTCAGGTCCGGAGTTGGTGGGATTACCTGGTATGCCACTGTGCCCATCTCAACTCGAATTTTAAAACTGACAACAGAAAAGGAAAGGAAAAAAAAAAAAAAAGCCCAGAGCCCTTTCTCACAGCAGGGCCTCCCCCTGCAGACAGTGGGTATGTGTGTGGGGGACAAGGCATGGGAGAGAACCCCGAGCTCCCGGCACATGCTGCCATCACCCACACCCCGTACCAAGATGACCAGAGACATCATGGCTTCCAGCACCCACATCCCCAGGATGACCCCAGCCTACCTGAGAATGCTTGGGCTGCCAGAAGGTACACTTCTAGCATGGTGGCCCAGCCATGCTGGCCTTCCCTAGAACACTGACTTAAAAGACTGCACCTGCTGCCACTCAGGAGTATCCCCAAGGACCAAGCACTCTGCCTGCAGGAACCACCAGGAGAGCACCGTGGCCAGCACAGCCAGCAACTCTGGCCTGCACACTGGCCAGCCCCCTGTCATTTTTCACTTGCACCACTTAAGCCGCCTGTGGGAGACCAACCTTACACGTGACTGAGTCACACTCCCCAGCTGGGTGCTGAGGCACTCAGTCAAAAAATGTGGCAGAGCTTTTCCTACCCTTCTTGGGTCTGGTGTCTCGAGCATGCGTGTGTCTTTCTACAGCCCCAGGGGTGGAGCTATGCTCACCTGTTCCTTTGTAATATAACCCCTTGCCCTGTTTAGGATAGAATCTTCCATGGAAGTGCCTTGTGTGTGTCCCCTTCTCTCATTGTGCCCTTGGGTGTGGCCTACCCAGGTGTTAGTCAACCTGCTGACAGTGGACATCACGAAGATAGACTCAGCCCCCTGAAACCTGACCCCTGGCCTCATTTGAATAGCTTCTCCTCAATAAAAGGGGTCAGCGCCTGCTCTCGCTCTCTCTCTTTCTGCAGACCCTAAAGTCAGAGGAGCCATCACACCGACCCCAAAGAAAAAGGTATTTGTGTCTCTTGTGTGGTTATTTCGTGCAGCCCAGGCAGCCCAGTTCAACTGGAGTGACCCCTGAGCCTTTTAGTCACGAGAACAGAAACCCAGCAGCCGCCTTCCCTCCACCCTGTCCTCCATGCTGCAAGTCTCTGCGAAATAAAAACAAGCTCTCAGCTGTCTCCTAGTCACCGAGGAACGGCAGCAAATGCCTGGGTACATCAACCTTTGACATCAGGGCCTGGGGATGAGGAGCTGCCCCAAACCCAGGCTCCCTAAGCAGAGGCAGAGAAGGAAAGTGGCGCCAGCCAGGCCCCTAGGCCAGGGGACTGAGCCTGTGCCAGTCCCTGAGGTGAGTCACACCAAGCCCAGCTCCTCCTGGTTATCTCATTTGCCGAAGGGTACAGAGGGAAGAAGACTAGGCTCATTCTCTTCACACAGACACCTTGTGCCTGGCAAAGAGCTCAGGTGCTGAGCACATGCCCAATCACCTCTCCCCATGCTGCCCAGCTGCCTAGCCCGTGAGGTCACCTGGGTCAGCGCAGTTTGCACAGCAGAGCAGCCGTGGGGAGGAGAGATAACCCACAAGCAACACTGCACCCCTTGAACTTGTCCCTCCCTGCTCCTCCACCTCGTGCTTGCTGTGCAACCCAGAATCAACCCATGCTCCTGAAAAACAGCACGTGTGCGAGGAGACTGCGGGGGCACAGGCCTCTCTCTACGTGTTCTGCCGTCAAAGCCCTTCCCCCAATTCCTACAAATGGAACTTTCTAGAACACGAAGGTACCAGTGAGGATGGGCTGAAATGAAGCACAGAGCTGTGGTGGCAGAAACCACCCGACACCTGGGCTGCATCCTCCTTCCAGGTCCTTCCACAGCYAGGGCCCAGCCCCCAAGGCAGCAGCAGGGGTCCCAGAGCCCCAGCTCCTCCTCTGCAGGGACGGTGTGGGCGCCAGGTGGAAAGCCCCCTTGAACCGTCTGGATGCTGTACTCACAAGCCTTCCAGAAACACGCCTGCTGGTACCAGGACCAGTTCTGCAGGTCCTGACCCTCCGTGCTTCCCTCCAGTGCGCAGGCCACACCCACAGCCCCTGCTCCCTGCAGCAGACGCCTAGGGTTAGGTGCTCTCTTCAACCACAGAGCTGCAGCCCTGGACAGACTGCCTTCGGACAGCCACGTGCAGCCCACCTTCAACTGTGCTGAGACCCCGGGCACTCACCTTGGCTCCACCTCTCACCTCAACTCCCCGGTGGCAGACACCAGCCCCACAGCACAGCCCAGCCCTTCCCTGCTGAGAAGCAGGGGCCACATCACCACCTGCTCTAAGCCTCACAATGGCCTCCCTCTGGTCATGTGGACCCTACCTGCTGCACTTAGGGGGACACACACCCCTAGATGCCCCGGGGCTCCTCGCTTTCCTTGGAGCTTGGCTGGGGTCAGCCTCTCCTCTGGCTGAGGACTCCCTGCTCCAATGCCCCTGCCCCAGGCCTGGCCCACCTGCTCTCCCTCCTCCAGCAGGTACCTCTTAGGATTCAGACATGGGCTTTAGGGAGCAGCTCCCTTGCTCCAGGCCCTGGGCAATAACACTGGAATTCTGCCTACGGTGAAGGAACTGCCTTCCGGGGTGGGGCCTGACAGGCAGGCATCCCTTTCCCCAGCTACACGGGTCCCTGCTGGGGCAGTCCTGAGGACGGCCAGGCCAGGGCCAGGAAAGCCTCACCCTAGATGAAGAGGAGACTGCAAAACCCGGGCCTGGCCTGGGGCTGGGGCTGGACTCAGCTCGCCCAGCGCGAGCGAGGCCTTGGTCTGATCCTCAGCACCACATAAAAACATAAATAAGTAAAAGAGAGGTATTGTGTCCAACTACAGCTAAAAGATAGATATTAAAAAAAAATCTTGGCACGGAGCAACTTCCTTCCAGAAACTTCTAGCTCACCCGGATCTTTCCTCGACAGCCCAGCGGCCTGTTAAGTGGCACCATAAGGGGACAAATAATGAGGATGGTGGGAACGCGAGATTAGGAAAATAATTCTATAAAATGAGCCCACTGTACTGACCCCCCCGCATGCTTTCTTAGCCAAAAAGATGTGTATCTGCAGCTCCACCTGCCTGAGGGGACAGGAGATGTCACCTTCCTCCACAAACTGAGTCGGTGGTGAAGGCCTGGCAGTCAGTGTGGGTCCTGAATGCTGGGGGTTGACACATGAGGGCTGGTCATCCAGGGAAGACGAGGGGTGGCTAACAGCTGACCTCCAGGACCTCACTCTGGCCCTGTTCCTGCTCCTTCCTGCCCTTAGGCAGTACAGGGAGAAGAAAGAGAAGGTGGGGGTTCTGAGGTCCATAAAAGAGCAATATGCGCGCACACACACACACACCCACAGCACAGACATCTGCCACCTCTGTCCCTCTCTTAAATAAAACTTGCTTTCTATGCTTGCCTCCGCATTCTCAGGTGCTTAATTGCCAACCCAAGGAACAAGGAGTATGGGCACCAGCAGTGGTCCTGCTTATGACAGAGATGCAGTTCACTAGTGACACATCAGGGAGCCTGCCTGAGCTCTGTCCCCAGGGCTCCAGCCGTCCACTGGAAACTACTCCCCTGGAGCTGACCCTCCTCTCAGGGCTAGTGTGAGACACTAAGATGGGCTCAGCCATGGTGACAGGGAGCTGAGCCAGAGGATCCCTGGGGCATCCCGGGGCAACAGCACACAGGTGGCTTTGGGTCCTGCCCACCTCCCCACAGCAGGCACACACAGGTCCTCCTCACACTCCGTGTTTCTGGGGACAGCGGCGACTACAAGGACTCCCCCAAACAGGGACAGCAGCACTCTCTGACAAGCAGAGTGATGAGAGACTYGGTTGCCTTCTCCCTCTTCGCGGCTTAGATTGTCTACACTGATCCATGAGCATACGGCACTTTTATGGGAAAAAACCTGCACAGTGTCCCAGGAACTGGGACAGCCTTAGAGCACTAAGGAAGAGCTCCTGACCGAGGTGCTGCGGGAGGCTCTGGGAGGCCCTGGAGACAGTGGCCTCGGGGCAGGCACCTGCCTTCCTCCGGTGTAAACCACCCTACCAGCAGCCACCTCGTAAAGCTATGGAGCAGTAAGTGAAATTACACATATAAAATGTTGTAAAACTGCCTGGCACACGGCCAGCACCCAGCTTGCCATCATTATCATAATCGCTCCTGCATTACGATGATGATCATCATTATGGCTCATGGCCGTGATGGGCTCATACCCTCAGAGAGCTCCTGGAGGCACTTCCGGGATCACACCTCCTTCCTAAATGCACCCTGTGGAGCAGCCCAGACAACAAGGGAATTAGGCCAGTCCCTACTGAGAGAGTCCCCTCAGGCTGGCAAGGCAGCCAGGGACGCTTCCACCAGGCTGTTTGGCTAATTATGGAAGCTGCATTCGGGTGTGGAGGAAACAGAATAGGTTGGCTTTCACAGGGGGTGGGCCTCAGTCAGACCCTCAGTCTGAGGCCAGGTGAGAMGGGAACCCAGGGAGCAGGCAGAACTCCCCCACCTGGCACCCACACACCTCTGTCCAAACTCCTGCTCTGTCTCCAGGGGAGGGCTGTCCACCACCAGCAACAAACACATCAAAGGACAGAGGATCTGAGGGTGGGGATGTCCCAAAGGTGGACGGTGACTATCACAGTCTACACTACTGGAGTCCTTAGAAAGCACTTACTGAGCCACACGAATTGAAACACTGGCACAGGGACTGAGCCAAAGTCACATCACAGGACCCACATTCCTCACAGGCAAAGGGCCACCTCCCTCTGGTTCTTCCCATCCACCCTTAGGCTTGCTCTCTCTGACTTCTGCTCCTGCCCCCATCCCTGGAGGCTCTCCCTGCCGTTCAAACCAAGGCCCATCCTCCGCAGCATCAGCAGGAGCTGGGACTACTTAGCAGGAAGCCACATACTTGGGCCACCTGAGACCTGCCAGTCGGAACCTCTGGGGTGGGCCCAGCAAGCAGCCCTTAAACAAGCTCTCACAGCACCCTGTGCTTGTCCCAGGGCGGCAGGAACCTGGAGAGGCAGATGGGTGCCCACTGAACGCAGAACCTGTCCACAGGTCTGTGCTTAGCACACCTCCTGGAGGTTAGCCTCGGCCGCCAGGGTCTGCACCTTCCCGCGCGCTAGCCCTCCACCTGCCAACCCCGCTCGAGCTGAGCTCTTCACCCTGTAGGTGTGCCTCCCACACCCACCGCAGATGGCTCCCTTTCTGTAGATGCTCCCCTCAACCTCCAGGGCGCCTCCTTCAGCTGCTCTCTTCAGCCCCCACATATTTCCCATGGGGCTTCCCCACCCCACCAGCAGCTCTCAAACAGGGGACTGGAAAACACTAACCTTTGTGAATCCTGGGGAGGAGAGGTACATGTCCCTTGCTCCCACCGCCTCGGAGACAATGCAGCCCACTCCAAATCCAGAGCCATATCCCACACCAAGGGCTCCCACCTCGCACCTGAGTGGTCACTCGTAACAGGGTGACTCCCAGACATCATCTCTCCCCAGGGAATTCACCACCACTTTCTTCACACACCGAGACAAGCAGGGATGACCACAGGGAGGTACCACACAGGTGCTGGAGAGGCTAGGTATTCACCATGAGTGCCCTTCCCCCTAAAATCCTATATACTTGGGATCACTGAATCCTAAAGTCATTGATTAGCAAATATTTATGGCCTATAAATAGGTACATTTCACTCTGCTTTGGGAAGCAGAGAAGCACGAGAGCTGTTTTGCCCACCTTACACTCAGACCTGGAGCCTCTGGTTACTTCAAACAGCAGGCACCGAGGCAGCCCAGCACATCCCGCTGCCCTCAGCCTGCCCAGGAGAGCCTGGCTCTGCCTCTGGCTAGCTAAGACACTGGGACCTCTCTGGACCTCAGGGTTCCCATCTGCACAGGAAAATACAGCAGTACCTCCTGCAAAGAGCTGCTCTGACGTCGCAAGGGAGGACAGACAGGTGTTCAGGACAGCACCAGTACTGACGCACGCTGGGAAGTACTGGCTGGGGTGACTGCGAAGACCCTTTGAGTTAGATTTTGTAACCAAAGCGGTGACCTGAGTCGGCAGGAAAAGGCCCTGAAATGAGCTGCATCCACCTCAGAGGTCCTGGATGGGCCACTGCTGTAGGCCCTGCAAAGAGCTGGCCTGCATGGGGGCTGCAGGAGAGGCTGGACCCACCAATCAAGAGGGAGCAGCACATGTGCTCAGTCAACTTAGGGAAGACAGTCCCGAAATGAGGAGCTCCCTGAAGAGTCTGGGAAGATGGTCACTTTCAAAGAGCCAATCTGGGGAATAAAAAACAATCCAAAATGGGAAACACACAACATTGAGAACGTCTCTGTGACATGAGGTCTTCATGACTTCATTTTATTTCCTCTTTCTGAGGCTCAGCCCACGGAAGGGTCTGTGTGTGGAGTGGGGTGGGCAGTGCACCAGCCACTCTATGGCCCTATAGCTTTAGGCTGAGGAAGCCCACCTGCTGTCAGACATCTGGGGTTCATCCCAACTGACAGAGCCATCTCCAGAAATAAGCCAAATCCCACAAGGTCTGCAAGCCTAAAGTTCTGGAACAACTAAAAAATAAACAAATAAGAAACAAACCCAAACACCTCTGTTATGGTTTGAATGTGAAGTGCCCCCAAAAAGCTCATGTGTGAGACAACCCAAGAAGGTGTAGGGGAGAAATGATGGYGTTATAAGAATTTTAACTGGTTAATTAATCCCCTGATGGGATTAACTCATCATTAACACCCTGCATACTAGCAGGGTGTGGCTAGAGGTGGAGGGTCATTGGGAACKCACCTTTTGGGTATATGTTTTATATCTGGAGTCTCTCTCTGCTTCCTGATCATCATGTGAGCTGCTTCCGTCTGCCACACTCTCCTGCCCCAAGGTTCTGCCTCACCTGGAGCCCTAAGGAGTGGAGTCAGCTCTCTGTGGACTGAGACCTCTGAAACCATGAGCCCTCAAGAAACTATTCCTCCTCTATAATTGTGCTGGTCAGGCCTTTCAGTTACAGTAGCGAAAAAACTGACTAAAATACTCTCATTCTACCACTTAGTTTCACAAATGAAACACTTTTATTTAAAAACTAAAAACTAAAGACTTGGGTTCCATATATTACATGGCAGGCACTGTCGTAAGACCTTTATGTCTCTGAGCTCACTACCCACGGCTCCCTCCCAGATGGACACCATCACTTTGTGCTGTTGTGAGGAGGCACAGAGCTGGGACCCCAGCCCTGCCAGGTGGGCTCTAGGGATGAGCACTTAGCCTCACTGCTGTTCTATAGGAGTCTGGTGGACCTCCAAAGGCTACTGACTCTGGGGCGTGTGGAGGTGGTGCTGGAATCCAGGCACGCCAGCTGAGTGGAATGCGGCATAGCTCTACCACCAGGCACAGGACAGGCAGCCCTGTCATCTGGGTGTGCCATTGGGTGCGAAACATGGGTTTCCTAGGTGGTCAGGTCCACCTGTCTAAAACCAGTGGAGGAATAAGGAACAAGGGATACCACAGAATGGACTCTCAGGAATAAGGGACACCACAGGATGCCACAGAAATTTTGGTATGTCCTACACTGAGTCAGGGAGGGGAGATGTCAGAACTCACACCTACTTTTTGCCAGCAGAAAGAATAAAACCTGTGCCAAGAATGTTTCCCTTGGAAAGTCTGCTCCGGACTGTGAGGATCTGGGGCCACAGACTCTATTCTTTCCAGCATCTAAATCTTACAACAGAAGAAACAGTGAGAAAAGACCTACTGCTTGTCAGAGATCTGACTGCCAAGGCTCTGGTCTGGTCCTGCTGACATGACTGACCCAGGGAGCTGACAGAGTCATCCCCCCACCCCCACCCCAGCCTCCTAGGTTGGCAATAAAGTGGGCAGTAATGCTCTGAAGAGGCAGATCCCAATTGTGACTGCTGGCTCAACCCAAGATGAAAGACTTGGTAAACCCCAAGCTGTTTTATGGTGTGTACATGTAGCTCTAGCTTCCTCTGCCCCACTTCCCTGAGCACCAACCTCAGGTGCCCTTCCACCCACCCGGCTGGGCAGAAAACCAAAACAATCCTTGAGCCTTTGCCTGCCCCCAGATTCTAAATGGGTCTGGTTCAGGCACCAGCTAGAAACAGACTGTCTGACTCTAGGCCACCTCCCCAGTTGGGTGTGCAAGGAGACCTCCCCCAACCCAACTAGAAAACTGGGGCTGGGGACAGAGTGGCTTCACTAGCTGGGGTGGGTGGCTGCCAGGCTGGTGCTCCCACCTGAAAAAAAACCTGTGGACCACTCCTCAAAACTCAGACCCCCACTGCCAGTCCCAGGGACGCAGTGCCCTCAGAACCAGGGACTGGCCACTGCTCCCTCAGGACCTACTGCTCACCCCTGGAACCCACCGCCTGCCCTGGAAATCCCCATTGCTCTTAGGGCCTGGTCACTGCCTACCTTGGAGACCCTCGGTCCACTCCAGGTCCCATTGCCCTCAGAGCCCAGGTTGGACACTGCCCACTCCATACCCTACCACAGCCCCGCGGAATGCTGCCCGCCCCCCGGTTCCCTCCTCTCAGAGACCTGATGCGCGTTGTCCACCCAGACTCCCACCACCTTCAGAGTCGCGGCCGGACGCTGTCCACCGCAAGCCCCTGACCTCACAGCCCTCGGAGCCCCGCCGGACGCGGCCCGCCCCGGACCCGACCGCTCTCACATCCTGCTGGATGCTATCTGCCCCGGAGGCCCCCTGCTCTGAGCCCCCGCTGGACACTGCCCGCCACGGACCCCCTGCCTTCAGAGCCCCGCTGGACGCTGGCGCACAGGCAGTCAGTCCCCTCCGCGCGGGGCGCGCCACTCACCCTGCTCCCCGGAGGAACCTGCCATCGCTGGGAATCCCGGACCCGTGGCCGCAGCGACAGACACTTCCCAGAATCTGATGCAACCGCCTCCCCGGAAGTCCCGCCCCTCTCCGCCCCGACTTCCGGACCTCCGCGTCGCTAGGCAACGCGCGCTCCGACGCCCCGCGCGCGGCATGCCGGGAGACCGCGCTGGGGGCACTGACTGGTGGGCCCCGGGGAAGGCCAGCGTGGGCGGGCTCAGGGCAGCAGGGCGTGGCCCGCAGTGGGCAAGACKGGCTGCTGGCCGCCGCAGTGTCGGGGAGCGGGCGGCGCGCTGCGAGTCCTCTGTCCGGTAAASCCGCAGCCTGGTGCGGTGGACGGCACCACGCTTTTCTGCCCAGCACGACCACAACGCACAAACTGTCCATCCGTTACTCCTGTCAATACGAAGTCGAATTAAATCAGGAGCCCGTCCATCCCCTCAACAACGCCCCTGCTCATAAAAGGGGAGCACTCAAGTCAGGCACTGACCAAGGCCGAGGTCTGAGGCACCCTCTCGCCTGGGGTTCCTTCAATACCAGCCACAGCGCTAGTCTGATTAGAAGACGGCCAGGAGGCTCAGACAAGCCAGAGAACTGAGCCCCTATCGCAAAGCAAGTGTCTTTCCCTCCGCTAGAGTCACCTGAGGCTCCCCTGAGGTGATGCCCAGTAGATCAGAAGCACCTTTAAGAGACGTGGACATCTTCAGTCTTCTAGGACAGCCATAACTAGAACAGATGACCCCTCTTGCTTTCAGGGGGAAGGGCAATCTCTTGCTAGTGATTTCCTCTTTGTAGGGGGACATAAACAGGTGTGGGTAACCCCCATTTTGGGCCTTTGACTCCTGTGTTCAGGATCTCTACAGCAGGAGTAGCCTCAAGGCTACTTTTCCATGTGGCACCTCTGGGTATATCCAAGGGGGCAGTGGTCTGTTGCCCAACACGAGGGCAAATGATTGGGCTTTTCCTCAAACTGTCTTTGTCCCTCTGGACTTTTTTGATTGATTTCTTCAATCTTTTTTTTTTTAATATATTTATTGTTTAGTTTTAGGTGGACACAATATCTTTTTTTTTTTTTTTAGAGAATTTTTAATATTCATTTTTTAGTTCTCGGCGGACACAACATCTTTGTTTGTATGTGGTGCTGAGGGTAGAGCCCGGGCCRCACGCATGACAGGCGAGCGCGCTACCGCTTGAGCCACATCCCCAGCCCTGGACACAATATCTTTACTTTATATTTATGTGGTTCTGAGGATTGAACCCGGTGCCTCATGCATGCTAGGCGAGCATTCTACCACTGAGCCACAACCCCAGCCCCTGATTTCTTCAATCTTGTCCCTGTTGAAAACCCCAAAGGCCAAACTTAAAAAGTTTTTTAATTGGAGTTTAAGGCCTCATTTTGAGGTCATGTTTTGCCACTCAACTTACTGTGGACCAAGCTGTATTGCAAGAAAAAATCAGTTACTTTAATTTTCTGCCTTAAAATAATTTTGGTTACTTAACATGCACCCAAGGGATGAGGTCTCGGGATAAAAGCTGTATTGCCACAATCTTGTGAGTTGTGTGCTTCAAACCTTGCTTTGTGTCTTGAGAAGACAAGAAAAACAGTGCTTATAAGGCCACACTGGCCTGTCCCACAGGGCTTGCCTACAGGTAGTCCAGTGCTCCTGAAGCCAGGGAGGCAAGAAATCTCTCAGGGTCCCTGAAACATCCCAAATATGCAAGATTACTTCTCTCTCCATCCTAGAGGCTGGAAATGATGTGCACAAAGATTGGGTCTTCAACCCCAGTGAAAAGAACGTCCCTGAGATTTTAAATACCTGGTTGTGCTGGGGTTTTTTTATTTTTATTTTTTATTTWTTTTTTTTTAGATAATGAAGTCAAAAAGACTTTGTAGAGTTTTTTAAAGGATTCAGGGTGTTCCTGAGTGGGCAAGGTCTGGTAAAATTTAATAGAAGACTTAAAAATTAGTTTTCCAAAGTAATCAAAAACATAGCAAATCATAAAACCTGAGAACTTGCCTTAATAAAATGCAAAATCTAACCAGGCATGGTGGGAGGCTGAGACAGGAGGATCATGAATTCAAAGCCAGCCTCCAACAAGGGCCAGGCACTAAGCAACTCAGTGAGACCCTGTCTCTAAAGAAAATGCAAAAATAGGGCTGGGGATGTGACTCAGTGGTCAAGTGCCCCTGAGTTCAATCAGTGGTACCAAAAAAAAAAAAAAAAAATGCAAAATCTTTGCTTTCTGGGCCAGGTTTTGTAAACTTTACCTGTAACAGTGTTGCCAAAAGCTCAGTCCTTGTCCTCGATGCCAATCCAATAACAAGGACACAGTTTTGAGAAAAAGAAAAAAAAAGAAAGTTTATTGCTTTGTTAGCAAAGGAGAAATGCAGGGGACTCCTGTCCCAAGACTGCAATTCTGCCCATCAGAAGGAACGGGGCTGTGTGTGTGTGTGTGTTGGGGGGGGGATTAAAGAGGTGATTCAGAGAATATTGAAGCCAGATTTAAAATTAGGTCGTCAGTGTAGTTAGGTAAATCGGGTCTAATTTCGAGTAAGATCTAAAATGGAGGCCGTGCTGATAATGATTACCGGAAACGCAGGACAACTCATGGAATGAAAGGCCCTAGGCCAAAGTCCACCCCAAAGGAATGTTAATGGAACCCAGGAAACAGCCCCCAACAGATTGGGAGACAGCCCATCCCAAAGAAGTGTTAATGAAGTCCTTCCTGCCCAGATTACCAGTGTCCCAACCCTTCCCCCCATTCTATCACCAAAACTATAAAAAGGGGAGACAACCGCACTTCCATGGATTCCACCTCTTGGGTCCCCTTCTTCCTCCGGGAGAAGTCTTTTCTGCTGTCCTTTAATAAACTTCTATTTTCCACTCTGACCTGGCCTCGGCGTGCTTCTTTGGTGTTATTCTTCAACATCGGGGAGCAAGGACTCGTCACCGGTCAACAGCGGTAACAATATGAGATTAGAGGAGAGATCAGGAAGGAGAAGATCAGGGAGAAGGTCAGGGAGAAGTTGGGAAAAAGAAAAAAACATATAAGTTTCAAAGCCACAAGGGATAGAGTCAAAGCATCAAGTGAGCCCCTGTTAGACCAAGGTACTTAGAATTCTCACTCTTAGTGACCTTGTTATCCAGTGAAGACCCAGAAAGAAAGTCATCTTAAATTGTTCTTTCATGTACCAGCTGAAGGACTCAGACAATGGGCCCCAGATCTACAACTGTTCCCGGCTGGGCCTGTCTGCCCAGCCCAGCCTCGGTGTGTGGGTGTCTGTGGCAAATTGGAGCTTTTGTCCTGGCAGAGGGATGAAACAGAGTCCAGCTCAGCCAGAGGGAGGGCAGGGAGGGAAAGGGGAGAGCACAGAGCACCTGCACCTGGCCCCACCTAGAGCTGAACCTGCTGTCCTCTAACAAGGCCACAGCAACTTCCCTTACCTGCAGCTGCTCCCCTCCGCCCTCCTGCCCAGCCCTAAATGAGCCCACCTCCAGCAGGGAACCAAATTCCTCCGTGATCTGAACCCTATCAGACCCAGACCCTGGCAGTAGCTGTGGCCAGTCTCCCTTCAGAGAATATGCCCCCCAGCTGGTCTTGAGGTCTTGATTGACCCAACCTGATCTTTTCTTAAAATTGGGCATCTCGCCACAAAACCATGAAAAGATAATTTTGGCTTTACTCTAAATTACTGCAAATTCTGAACCTGCTTGGAATGCCTGCCCGTGCCTTGAACTCACCCATGCCTGGCTCTCTGACCAGATAGCAGCCCTCTCTGAAACCTTAGTGACACCTCATAAATATTGGCCTTCCCTGGCCAGACAACGACCCTCTCTGAGGCTCTAATGACCTTCATAAATTCTGATGTCAGGGCCAGCAAAAAATATGAACTACCATTAGTGTGATGCTCCTCAAAGTTCTGTAACCCCCCTTGGTGTAACTTTCTGGGAGATAAAGCTGGGCTACAGGAAGCTGGGGTGCTGTCTTGTTCCCGCCGTTTTGGGAGGGAGAGGCAGCCCGGCTGGTCGAAATAGTAAGCTTGCTTTAATTTGATTTTAATTGGAGTCAGTGGTCTTTTCTTGCGTCCTGGTCTAACAGTCTGTGTTCCCTTTCATGTGCTTTCACCAATAATTTATGAAAACACATTTAATAGACCCAATTATAGAAATTATAGGTATATCGTCTTTTAGAACTTAAGAAGCCAAGAGTACTTATGTCTAGCAGTTAATATTTCAGGGTTCTTACTTATAGATGACTGTTTGACCGCTGTTATGTACGTCTGTAAATATTTGTTCCATTCATGTTTACTTTATTTATTGGTACCAGGGATTGAACCAGACACTTAACCACATCCCCAGCCCTTTTTATTTATTTATTTATTTTTTGAGACAGAGTCTTGCTAAGTTGCTCAGGGCCTCACTAAATTCCTGAGTCTGGCTTTGAACCTGTGATCCTCCTGCCTGAGCCTCCTAAACTGCTGGGATTGCAAGTGAGAGCCAAGCTAATTTATTGTTGAGAGTCATTCCTAGATCACCGATGGTAATGGCTAATCTGAATTGTCTATTTTGTTGCCCTCAGTGAGGGCATTTCTAGGAACGATTGGGAACAGAAAGGTGGAGGAACCCACCAGTGGGCAGGAGCAGAGCAGGGAGATTCTCCTGAGCAGGCTCCTGAGCAATCCGGCGGGGGCCTAGGACACCAGACTCCAGCTCTTTCACCCTCCACAGGGACTTTGACCAGTGACTCTCCAGGGAGTTTCCAGGTTTTTCATCCCAAACTGCATTGTTGGATCCACGTTCCAGCTTCCTGGACTGAGCAGCTCTGGTTCTCCTGGCTCTGCAGCCTGTGGATGGCTGTCGTGGGACGTTCCGTTTCTGTCCGTCTAATAAATCCCCCTTTCTAAAGTTTTATTTGGCCGAAACATTGGCCATTACAACAGGCCACTCAAATGCTTCGAGGCCTAGGAGTGGCGACTGATCCCCATAGAAGTCAATGGTATTAGATTGGAAGGATCCTGAAGGATGTGAAGGAACTATACAGCCATATGTATTGGATCACCTTCCTAT